CATGCCTGGCCTGGAGTCTGATGGGGCCAGGGCACGGCTCTGCTCCAGGACTCACTCCATCCTCACACCCACAGCTGGTTTGCAATATTTTCCTGTGCACTCATGTACTTATTCTTTTTTTTTTTCGCCCCCAGCATGTGCATTTTTGTGCTATTAATGTACAATTAGACCCCGGCTTCAGAGTTCTTCTTTTATCTGCAGGGCATATGTTTATTTTAGATCCCAAAGTGGCAAACAGAGAGAGGATGTTTGAACTGTAGAAACACTCTTAAGATTTTAGCCACAGGGTGGAGGAATCCATTAGCTATAAAACACGGCAATGTTAAATAAATCATATGAGTTGCTGCCACTTGTTGGCGGCCTTATCACGGCAACTTAGGCTCAAAGCTGCTGCAAACCTTTGGTTCTTCAGAGTCTACAGTCTCTGAAGGGGTCCCGGGCTCTCTCGGCGACTGGGCTGTGTCATTTATCTTTGTGCCCAGCACCTAGTTCAGTGGAAGCAGTCCCCTGCTTCATGCCTGGTCCCCTCTTCCCAACTTCCCATCTCAGAATGTTCAGTTGGAGTTGTTTTGATCTGTAAACTTCTGGGGTCCAGGAGATAGCTCTGGAGGCCCTGGTAGGGTTCACCTCCCAGGGCTGCCCTTTCCTCTGACACCACAACCCTTGCTCTTCCTTCAACAGCTGAGCCGAGGCCTTGCTCCTTGCCTGCATCTGCCCACTGCCCGCTGCTGTGACGCTGTGTGACACATGCCCACGGCTCCATGGCTTCCAGCACCAGGCACCGGTTTCTGGCTCACAGGCCTGTGGGTGTCTGTGCTCCGGAGGGTTTGTTGTGGATCCTGCGGGCTTGGTTCCAGGTTTGGCCCACAGGTCCCACGTTCTGGACCGGCTGCCAGGGCATGTTCTCCCGCAGCCCATGAAACAGAGGCACAGGAGGTCAAACCAAATGGTGCAAACACTTCTAAGGCCTCCCTGGTGTCATACACCACAAACCCACGTGGCAGAGGGTGGGAGTGGGCACCGGGGACAGAGTCCGGTATCCAGGCTCCCTGGCACCTCTCTGAACCAGTACCTGGCCCGAGCTGGACCATGGCCTTGGTTTCGAGAGTTCAGTCTCTTCCTGGGGAAGCAGGAGCTGCTTCCTGGATCCCTGGGTGGGGGTGGCGGTGGGGCTACTTCCCAGCTCTTCCGTTTTTCTGTTTCTTTTGCTAATAATTCTCCCCTGTGTGTCACAGTGTACTTCTGGGTGACTTTCTCTGGAGATGCAGCCTGAGGCAGGATTGCTGTGGGAGGGAGAGGACAGATCCTCGGATTCATCAAATATCACCAAATGGCTCTCACAGGGGCCGCACTGAATCACCACCTCCCCAACCGGCATTGGCTGCATGTACCTCTGTTTTCTTCCCTAACTGTTGACATCATCAGCTTTACAGATTTTGCTCAATTCGTGGGTGTAAAAGGGTGAGATACTCTTGTTTTGATTGCACTTCCCTGATGAATAGTGAGGTTGAATGTTTAAAAAGACATTTATTGGATGTTCACATTCCCTCTTATGTGCCTTGTCCCCCCCCGCCCCCCCGCACTTGCTTCTAAACTGCTCGACTTTATCTCACTGGTTGGTAGAAGTTCGCTACAGCGTCTCTTTTCTAATCCCTTGTCAGCCACATGCACTGTACATCTTTTCCCTGTATTTTTCCTTTGTTTATGGAATTTTTGTTGTAGAAGACGCTTTTATTTTAATTGAGTCAAAATGACTACATTGAAGGTCACAGGCTTTTTTATCTCTAATTAATCCTTTCCTCAGGTTTATGGAGATGCAATCTAACATTTTCTTTTGAAAGTCGTGTTCTTCACATTAGGGATTTACTCCACCTGGGATTTATTTTTGTGTCTGGTAATAAGCGAGGATCTAATTTTACTATATTATGGAGAACAGTTGTTTCCCGGCTATTCAATGCACAGCTAAGGTGTTACACACAACGCCAGCCCCTCCCCTGACATTTCTCAAACCCCCACCTGAAAAGAAACTGGTTTCCAGTCCATTTTCTGTCTCAGGGACACACGGACGTGGCTGCTGCTGCTCCGGCTTCGGACAGACACATCGACCTTCTGAGTCTCGGCTGTTCTAGACCTTCCTTGCTTCCTTATCCATTTCCTGATTGGCCAGGAAGTTCCAAGAAATGCCCACTGAAATTTGAGTTTAATGGAATGATCTACAAATGATTTTGGGGGAAAGTCCTGTTGCAAAGGTCCCAAGTCTTTCTGTTCCGGGGGCACGGCGTGAGCACTGTTTACTGGCGCTAGGCCCTGGGCATCCCTTCCGTCCCTTCCAGGAACGGGCACGTGGCACTTCATGTCCCTCTGTGTGAGGCGCCTTGGGGGGAGTGTGTCCCTGCAGGGTTGTCTCCCCTGGCAGGTGCTGGGACTGCCAGTACTAGAGGTGACAGGGCACTGCAGCCCACAGAGGGGCAGGGAGGGCGAGCCATGCACAAGTCGTGTGCCAGCGCCAGCGGGTACAGCTCAGGAGAGCCAGAGGTGAAGGATATTGCTGGTTTAATTCATGGTGCTCTCTCAAAGTCCACCATGGTGGGGATAGCCACACCACAGAAATATAAAAGTACAAGAAATCAGCACCTTTTTTTCCCCACCTGAAGAGCAAAGCTCTTTATTTTTGCTTAAAAATCTCACTGTGGTTCTGGGATGTGTTAGTCTCTATGTCAGACTCTTTGTGACCCCATGGACTGTAGCGTGCCAGGCTCTTCTGTTCTTTGGATTCTCCAGGCAAGAATACTGGAGTGGGTTGCCATTCCCTTCTCCAGGGGACCTTTCCCACCCAGGGATCAAAGCCAGTCTACTTTGCAGGCAGATTCTTTACCATCTGAGCCTCTTTCTGGGGAGCCCATTGCTAAACATGGACCAGCATCACCTGACCATGCTCTTCCTGGATGAAGCCCCTGAGATGCTGGAGTGGCTTTTATTGCAGTGGGCTCACCCAGCCCCAGAAATGGTGCCTCTCCCTTCCACTCAGGCTTTCGGTGTCTTCTGAAACATCTTATGTGTTTAAAGGCAGTCTGCCCCTGACTCCAGTGTCCCCACCGTCCCCACTCCCCTTGGTGGACTCATGGTCAAAGCCTCAGGACCTTGTGCAAACGTTAAATCCTTGAGTTTCGCGCTTCAGTTTCCTTCCTCCTCCATACAGGCATCTCGTGGCTTCCAAATCTAGGGAAACAGCAGTGTCCTTCTCAAAAGAATCCACACAGCCACGTGAGTAAACGGAGTGCTGATCTAAGGGCGGGGGGCCAGGGCAGACCCCTCAGCTTCCCCTGCCCCAGCCCAGGAGCCCCGCCTTCGTCCTGGTGGGAGTTCCCATGGCTCCTTCCATGTCATCATACCCTCAAAGCTGCTTGGTCGGCCAAGAGGTTTCCAAAAGTGAAGTCCACCCAAGCTTTAGAAGGTTCCGGAACTCTGACCATGGAGGGAGCAGAGTCCTCCAACCCTGGGTTTCGTGCCCTGCGGGGGCACCACGGGCAAGGACAATTCTCAGCTCTCAGGCTCAGGTAGGGGTCCTGCTGGGCTCAGAGCAATTTGTGCAAAGCAAACGGTCAGCCTCTAAGGGGCGTCTGGAAGAGCCGGACCGCCAGCACCCATGAGAAGCTGAAAGGCCACGATGGACTGAGAAGGCCACTGCGTGGCTCAGGCCTCTTTTGTGGGGCAATCATCTCTCTTCCCTCCTCCTCAATGTGCAGCATCTGGACTCGCAGGTCAGAGGGGCTCTGTGCGTGGGGAAAACACAGAGGCACTCTTCTGTTTCCTCGCAGCTTCTGAGTCTGTAAGAAGTGTCAGCAGCTCATCTAATAAGAAATACGAACGCAAGCAACAAAAGGAGCCAGGAAACAACATTCTTGCTCAGTATTTAGCTTCTCTAAACCTAGGAAGGGCTTTCACTTTTCCCCCACTCGCACACAGCATAGAGGAGAAAGGATTGAGTGACAAAGAGATAGAAATAAAGGAGCCGCAAAAGAGGCCACGGAACGCATGATGGGAAACGAGCCTGCCACTTCATTCACAGCCGCAAAACTGACTCTTAACACACACAACTTAACATGTCCACAATCAGCGACAGCAAATACTCATTTTTAACTAAATAGCTTCTAACATATTATTACGGCAATTAGCTTGTTTTGGGCCAAATTATATTTGGCCACTTTCTTCTCGACCAAATTGGTTTTGGCCCAATTACATCCTCCTCGTGGTTTCCTGGTCTGTAAAGAAGAGATAATTGGATGTAGCTTCTAAGAATCAGCGAGGGAGATAAAGTCCATGTGCTACCTCCGGGGCTGGCTCACGGCCCGTGCCCTCCCTCCACACGGGCAGACGGCTCTGGCCTCGCCTGGGATCCTCAGTCGTCACCACTAACAGAGGTCCCCTGTCCCCCCTTCCACGTGGCTCCCGGGGCTGTCTGGGGTCACGCAACCCGGCCATGTCTCAGCCCCCACGTTAGGAGGCTACCCTCCACCCTCTAACCCCAACCGCCAATGGCCCGATGACGGAACTCCTCCCGAAAAACCAAGTCCTCACTGTGCTCTCCAGAGACAGGGGTGTCAACTCTTCATGAAAAGAATTTGATCATTGTGAGCCGGGCACAGGGTGGGGGTGAGAAGACGGGGTGAGGGTTGCCTGGCAGGGGGCCTGAGGAAGGGGCTCTGGGAGCAGTCCCGCACAGCACCCAAGTGGAGGCCTATGGGCTCAGTGAGGGGTCTGCGTCTGGCCCCCGCCCTGGGCCAGGGTATGAGCATCTCCCAGCCCGCACCCCAGCTGTGTCCTGGAGGCTGGGGGTCCACGGCATGGGCAGGCCTGTCCCCCCTTGTGTCCTCACACGATTGTCCCCATGTGTGTGTCTATGTCCTGATCTCCTACTGTAAGGACACCGGTCACATCGGGTTAGGGCCGCCCTCGTGACCCTGTTTTGCCTTAAACACCCTTTCCTAGGCCTGTCTCACACGGTCCCCTTCTGAGGGGTCAGGGACGCAGCGCGGCCCCTCCCGCAGGGTCTGTCTGGTGGGCTGGGGCCGGCGGCCGGCAAGGAGAAGCGTGAGTGAATCAGCTGAACCTCGGCTCTGGGGCAAGTCCTGGGGTGATGGGCTGACTGTGTCCTGGGAGCCCCAGCTCGGGGCAGAGCCCTCCCAGGGCCGGTCCGCGGGTGCTGGCGGCCGCCTCTCGGTCCGCATTCTCCAGGGCAGCTTGTGGGCAGAGACTGGCGGGTCGAGGCCCAGCCCCTGGAGCAGGTGGCGGAGGAGGATCCTCTATGCACTTTCCAGGCCCCTGGGTGGCACGCGCTACACACACGCATGTATTTCCCAAGGACGAGCTGTCCCTGAAGGCTCCAGAAGCGAGTGAGACTCCGCAGGGATCCGTGCAGGGGCTGCAGCCGTGAAGCTGCTCCCTCGCTGCAGACCCAGGGGCAACCAGTTTTCTGTGGCTGGAAGAGGCTGCTGTGACTGCGGCCCGGGAGCCGTCTTTGTCTAAGGCCTTGGTGCTATCTGTAATAATGGCCTGACTCTTCTGACTCCCGTTTTAACTCAGTGCAGATCTTGGGCTCGAATGTAAAACCCTAAACTATAAAACTTTTATGAAAAAAACATAGGAGAGTATCTTCGGGATATTGAACTAGATAAAGAGTTCTTAGACTTGACACTAAAAACAAAATCTGTAAATGGAAAATATTGGTAAATTAAAGTTCATCCAAATTTAAAACCTGACTCTGTGAAAGTTCTCCTAGAGAAGATGAAAAGTGAAACTATTGCGTGGGAGATTATTTTTGAAAACAGCATTAACCAACCAACCAACGACTTGTGTCTAGAATGTAGGAAAAACTGTCAGAACTCAAAACTAAAAAACAAGCCCCCAACCAATCCACGGACAAAGTAGGAAGAGACATTTCACAGACAGAGATATACAGATGGTAAATGAGCCCATAAAAAGATGCTCGACATAATTAGCCACTGGGGAAATGCAAATTAAAACCACTGTAAGATATCTCCATGTACCTATCAAAAGTGGCTTTTAGTGAAAGAGTGAGGACATTAAATTCTGGAGGGGATGCCCAGATACTGAGTGATCCTACAGCACTGGGGGTTGTGGAAGGCGGCAGCCACTCTGGAAAACGGTTCAGTCCTTTCCTTAAACATCTGCGCACCACCCCCGAGCCAGCGATGGATGGCCCTTCTGGGCGTGCACTGCAGAGAACCGACGACTTTTGTTCACACAAAGCCCTCACGTGGATGTCGTAGTGGACATGGGGGCTGAAAGCCTGAGTCATCCAGGTGTCCTTTGATGGGTGACATTCAGTCCACTCTGGCCCTTCGGCGCTGTGGGTTACACCTTAGCAACGCAAACAGAGAACAGATTAGCAGTCTCCAGGGGTTAAGGGGGTGGGGGTGGAAGGAAGAGGTGGTGCCTAAAGGACTTCCTGAAGGATGCTTCTGGAAGTGTCCTGAGTCCTGTTTCAGCATGAATGTTCTGGGTGTGATATTGTGCTACCGTGTTGTAAGATGATACTGGGTAAGGGGCACAGAGGGTCTCTGTGTGTGTTATCTCTTACATGTGAACCTACAATTAGCCCCCAGTACAACACTTATTTAGAAATAAAATTAAAAAAAAGAGCCAGTCATGGGCCAGCTGCCCTGGCATGGAGAAGATGTGGGATGTGAGGACCAGAAGAGCTCCAGGGGCCCCCTAGAGTCTGTCCAGCACAGGCAGGAGGCCTACATGGGCAGAAAGAGCTGCAGGGTCCGCAGGAGCCTCGGGGGAACTGGGGTCCCGGTTGACATCGGGGAGCGCCTGGTGGACAGTCACAGGTGGGCTCAGCCAGAGGAGACGCAGCACTGCAGGGTCCGCAGGCGCCCAGGTGAGGACGCCTGGGAACCAGCACTGTAGTAACCCTGTTACTGCAGGGTTCCGGGCTTTCCCCCGACGCCGGGGTTCTCTGCACATTCCAAGGAGGTGGGACGGAGCCCTGCGTGGCGGGAGTAGGGGGCGGGGGAAGGATGCTCCAGTTCACCAGGGGCACAGCCAGCCTTGCAGGCTCCCAGGTCCCCAGGGCTCTCCTGCTGGACGTGGATCCATGCGTGGCCGTCCTGATGTCCCCTGCTATCAGGCTCCCGGGGCTGCTGTTACAAAGTGCCACATTCTGGGGGCATAAAGTGGCAGAAGTTTGTCCTCTCACAGTGCTGGAGGTCAGGCATCTGAAGTCAGGGTGTCAGCAGGGCGGGATCCCTGCAGAGGCTCCAGGGGAGGGTCCTCCTGCCTCTCTGGCTCTGGAGGGTCCATGTGGCTGTGGCTCCATCACTCTGATCTCTGCCCCGTCTCCATGTGACCCCCACCCATGTCTGTGTGTCTCTCTTTTTCTTCTGAGGACCCCACTCACCGGGTTTGGAGCCCCCCAAGTCCCATCTTGGGATGTTACCTTATTTACATCTGCAATGGCTCTGTTCCCAAAAAAGGTCACAATTCGAGGTTCTAGTGGATATGAATTGGCGGAGACACTCTTCAACCCACTATATTCCTCCCGCCAGCCTTTGGGGTCCCTGAGCCTCTCCCTGGGGAACCTCTCCTTCCTGCTGGCAGGAGCCTGGGGGAACTGGCTCATCTCCACGCACTGGCTCATCTCTAAGCACTGGCGCCTCCCAGGGGATAGCTCCCATCTGAGCCCCGGGGGCGCTCGTACATCACGGAGCTGAACCACTTCCAGAGCCAATAAAATGTGAGGGCTGCGGAAAAGTGCACTTAGACGCCGCACAAGTGATTTTTTTTAATAAAAAGGAAAGCCCTCATAAAACCCCTAATTATCCTCTCCCAGCTGTCCTCTGTGCACTTGGGCCAGTGAATGCCTGCAGGGGAGGGATGTGGTCCCGAGAGCAAGCTCTTGGGGGAGTGGGCACACCTGCCTGTGAGCTGGGGGTGCACCCCCTCTGGGCGAGGTCAGTGTCTGCACCCGGCCGTGTGTATGTTTGCAGCGGTCGAGGTACGTCCGAGAACCATGCTTCACTCATGCACCAGTTCAACGGCTCATTCAACGGCATCCCCTGTGGGGAGGGCCCCTGCGGACGTGGGCTGGAGGAAACGGAGGGAGACCCTTGTCACAGGGCGTGTACCCACCTGAGGGAGTGGGTGCTTCATGAAGCGCACACCTGAGTTTTCACATGTGTGCATCGGTGTGGAATGGTTTCACCAGTGCCTCCTGGGTACCAGGCTTCTCACAGAGGTGTGAGTGGGTAGTCCTCTCCCTCCTCACCAGTGTCACAGGCGCCGTCTGTGTCCCAGCGGCCCTCTCCTGCCTCAAGCTCCTCAGTGCCAGACCGCGTGGCTGGCAGGGACTGGGACAGGGAGAGCCTGGATGGCCCTTCCTGGGTGCCGGGGTAGGAGGCAAGGGGCTCATACACGTCAGTCCTGCTTGTGGCTCTCACCTAACCCTCACCACCTCCATAAGTGGGGAACACTGTGCCCATTGCCCAGATGGACAAAGTGAGCCTGCCTGGGGTCTCAGAGGCAAGTCCTAAGTGCCTCTGCCAGCCCTGTATCCTGGACCTGTGCCCCGCCTCCTGCAGCTCCCTACCTGGGCCGGGGAGGCGGGCAGCCATCCTGCTTCAGCTCCGCCCCTTGGCCTTAGCCCCTGGCTCCTGGCCTTGAAGTTGTCGGTACTGTTGGTTTCAGGGTGAGGCCTTCAGACACGCTTTCTGGGTGCAGTGGCCCGTAGTCTATGTGGTACAAGTGAGGAAGCTGAAGGCAGAGAATGGGAGCTGAGTTGGGCAGAGACCTCCCCAGAAGCCGGCTCTACCTCCAGCCTCCAGCCTTGGGGGCCACCCTGTGAGGTCCAGGCTGGGAGCCCAAGGCTGGCTGCCCAGGTTCAGAGATACCCGTCCACCACCACGCTCCTGCGGGGAGGCTGCACTCAGCCCTCAGGTGGGGGACCTGACACCCACCCCAGCATCCCTTGGCAGGGGTCTGCACCCTGGGGACTTGGAGCAGACCTGGGCCTCCGCTCCATCTGGGGGCTCTCCTGGTGGGCTGTGGGCACCTTGCGGCTGTGGGCCCGAGAGAGCACCCATCCCTCGGCGGGAGTGCGGGAAGAGTCTCGCTGCTCCCATGGAGCCCGCGGCGGGCTCTCTGGGGGGCTGACGAGGCCCCCCAACTCCCGGCCAGCCCTGGTGGACTTGGAACAGGAAAGCTGCTCTCCTGGGACACGAAGGGACATTTCATTCATTTGGCAAAGTGACATGTTGACGGGATGCGCTTCAGTGGCAAGCGAGCGAGCGGGGAGATGAAGCTGGGTTGTCGCCTCCGAGCAGGCGGGAGCTGCTCGACGTCCTGAGATGTTTCGGGTAATTGCTTGTGTTCTCCTCAGGGTCCCCTCGGCCGCCGTGATCCAGCGCGGCTATTGACAAATCCCGCACCGCCGCCCGTCAGGCTGGCCTCTGGCCCCACTGCCCTTTAATGGCCCGGCGGCCAGCGCTCTGCACACCCACTCAGACACGTGGCTCAGAGACACGGGCGACACTCCCAAGGCCCGGGGTTGGGCGGGCGTAGCCCAGTCATGGCTCTGACCGAGGGGCTGGGCTCCCAGTGGGGGTGGGCAGGGGCAGTCCTGGGGAACGCCGAGGCCCTCGTGAACACAAGCAAGCTGGTGTCCTGCCCCCCAGCAAGTCCCCCCAAACCCACCTGCTGCCCTCCAGCCCTCCTCCAGGGCCCCAGGCATCTCTCTGCGCAGGCACCCCCGCTGGTCAGCCCCACCCCGGCCACTGCTTGCGGGACTCCTTCCCCATCTCGCCCTCGGACTGCGGCCCCTCACCTCCCACCCACTGCCCCTGCTCTCAGGCCTTGTCGTTCTGCCTCAAGGGTCTGAATGTGGAGGTCCCGACTCTCACAGGACCCCCAGGGGGGCCCCAGGGACACAGAAGGGCTTCAGAGTGTCAGGCGCTCCTGATGGAGCCCATCAGAGGCCCCCTGAGGAGATTTGACAAATACTGGACCCGCCCCCAACAGAGTGGAGATTTCCAGACCAGGGGCTGGTGGGGCTGCCCTGCCTCCTGTCTGCAGAGGGGTCTGTGCAGAGTGAGGCCAGCGCACAGTCGGAGATGAGCAGAGAACAGGAGCCGGGCCGGAGTACCAAGGAGGTGCCCACGGCAGACGGGCCCTCGCCTCCAGGCGGCCTGGTCACACAGGCGGGCCTGGCGCAGACCAGGTGGGAAAGCCTGCTGGCACCAGAGGGAAGGGCTGTGGAGCGGGCTGAGCGGCTTCGCAATGGCAGGAGTGGCCATGCATCTCCACACATCCTACAGGCGGCTGGGGGTCGCAGCAGGAGCAGGCGGGGCCTGGAGGTGCCCTCGGGGGTGCAGTGTGCCCCGGGGGGTTTGCACACAGCAGCTGTGATCACACGTCACAGGGTGCCTTCTTCAGACGTCTTTCATTTATGAGTTTGTTTGTTCTTATTTGCCATAAAACACACGTGACGTCAAAGCTACCACCTGAACCCTTCCGAGTGCACAACTCCGCGGCGCTGCGCACACGCGCCTTGTTGTGCAGCTGTCCCCACCCCTGTCTCCAGAACTTTTCTGTCTTCCCAGACTGAAGCTCCGCCCCCATTAGGCACTCACTTCCCAGCCGCTCCCCCGTCCTAAGTCTTGTCTCCATGAACCTGTGGACTCTGGGCTCCTTGCACAAGTGGAACCGTGCAGTGTTTGTCCCGAGGCGACTGGCTTATCTCACTGAACCTTGTGTCCTCACGGTCCATCCACACTGTGGCAGCGGACAGAGTCCCCGTGGCCCTGCCCGCCGTGTGGCTGGACTGCGCTGGGGCCGCCCCCACCCGCCGACGGACACGGGCGGCTGCACCTCTGGGCGTCAGGGACTCGCGCTGCTCTGAGCGCGCATGCACACAGCACACCTTGTGCTTGGCCATCCGCCCCATCCGCTCCCCCTCAGCCTGGTCTGAAGTCACCACAGCCTGGCGCTGGCGCTGGGTCGATTCTCCCACGTTGCATGTGGTCGGGTTGGCGAGTTGCTCCCTGCATTCCTGATTATGAGCAATTTGATGGGCATGTTTATTCAAAAGCTTTGTTTGCATTTCAGACCATCTCCTCTGACAGTGTGCAGTGTAGAATTACTGGGTCAGCCCTTCTGATTAGGATGATGTCTGCATGAACTCTCAAGTTGCTTCTGGGAAGAGGAGCGGACGGTCTGCACTCCCCCAGGGCCCAGCGGAATAATTAATCCACACACACTCCATAAGCAGAAGGGCATCTTAGTGCTGTTTCTATTTTCATTTCTTTCATTACTTGGGAGGATAACTGATTTATCTCCATGTGTGTGTCTGGCATTTGTGAGTCCTATTTTCTGGAGTGTCTTTTCATGCATTTTGCTCATTTTTCAGCATGGGACTTGGTATTTTTCTTATCAATTTCTAGGAGCTCTTTATATAATTAGAAGTCAGCACTGCTGTAATTGCTACAAATGTTTCCTGCCCTTCCTTCACCATGTAGTTTTTGGTTAGGATTTTGACGTATAGAAATGTAATTTCTGGTATCAGATCATTGGCTCTGTGGTCCTTCTTTGCCTGTTGGAAGTCCTTACAAGGGTGGGGGGAGCAAATCTCATTCAAGTTTCCTTCTGGTTAATTCGGAGGTATCATCAAAAATTCATAGTGAACCTGGGCAGGGGGAAACACTTGGCCTGAATCCTCTCCTGGCTCCCAGTGGCCTGGAGTGGCAAGGGTGCCTGTGTGACGTTCAGGGGTTTTCTGCAACTCTCTGTCCCCACGTTCCCCTAACTCAGAAAAGCTCCTAAACATCAGGCCATTTTTCTGCCACAAGGACCGCGCGACCCTCCCAGACACAGCTCCTGCCTGCCCCACCCTGAGCTAGGGCCAGACCTTTCACACTGCTACCCTTGAACTGCCTCAGGATCACCGCTTCTTAATGACTGACCCTTGCCAAGGCAGGGTTGTGTGCCCATCCCTGGGTCTAGCACACAGTAGGTGCCTATAAGAAACCGAGGCCACACTGTACCTTACAAGGGCTGTATGCTCTCTTCACAGCCTGTCATACCAGGGTTTGTAAAAAAAGCCTCATTTACTGTTGTTTTGGAGTCACAATTCTGAGAGTTCCCAGCAGATACACACCTGAATGAGATGTTGAGTCTCGTCCTCTAGGCCTAGCTGATGAAGGAGGAGGGGAGACACTCAAAACTGCTTCCTTTCCAGTGTCCTAACACCCTCTGGAGTTGGTGATGGACAGGGAAGCCTGGTGTGCTGCAGTCCATAGGGTCGCCAAGACTCAGCCATGACTAAGCGACTGAACTGAACTCAACACCCCACTGTCCTCCCTTGGGGGGTCCAGCTCCTGGACGGTGAGTAGGGTCTTCATTTGTCAATCTCAACCCCTCCCCAGATGTCTTTCCAAGTGTGAAAGAAAGTATTAGTTGCTCAGTCGTGTCTGACTCTTTGCAAAGCACATGGACTGTGGCCCACCAGGCTCTCTCTGTCCATGGGATTCTCCAAGCAAGAATGCTGGAGTGGGTTGCCATTTCCTTCTCCAGGGGATATTTCCTAACCCAGGTATCGAACCCATGTCTCCCACATTGCAGGTGGATTCTTCACTGTCTGAGCTACCAGTTAAGCCCTATTTCAAAGGCTGATTCTAAATCCGTTGCCCCACCTCTGTTGTTATTCAGTCACTCAGACATGTCCAACTCTTTGCGACCCCACGGAGTGCAGCACACCAGACCCCCCTGTCCTTTACTGTCTCTTGGAGCTTACTCAAACTCATGTCCATTGAGTCGGTGATGCCATCCAACCACCTCATCCTCTGTCGCCTCCTTCTCTTCCTGCCTTCAATCTTTCCCATCTTCAGGGTCTTTTCTAATGAGTCAGCTCTTTACATCAGAGAGCCAAAGTATTGGAGCTTCAGCATCAGTCCTTCTAATGAATGTTCAGCATTGATTTCCTTTAGGATGGACTGGTTGAATTTCCTTGCTGTCCAAGGGACTCTCAAGAGTCTTCTCCAACACCACAGTTCAAAATCATCAGTTCTTCGACATTCAGCCTTCTTTATAGTCCAACTCTCACATCTATACACGAATACTGGAAAAACAATAGCTTTGACTAGACGGACCTTTGTTAGCAAAGTAACATCTCTGCTTTTTAGTATGCTGTCTAGGTTGGTCATAGCTTTTCTTCCAAGGAGCAAGCATCTTTTAATTTCATGGCTGCAGTCACCATCTGCAGTGATTTTGGAGCCCAGGAAAATAAAATGTCTCACTGTCTCTATCGCCCCACCCTTAGCTGCTGCAAAATACACACCCCCATTCCTCTCCATCCAGGTTGATTATTAAATATGATTCAGAGTCCGTCCGAAACCCAGCCCTCCCTGAGACCCTGGGAGCTCTCTGTCTGCAGCCCAGGGATCCAGAGTGCCTTTCAGGGGCCCAGCTGGTGCCCTTTAGGGTGTCCCCCGAGCCCCGGGCAGGACCTGAACTTGTCAGGGGGCCTCCTGGCTGCTGCCCACTGGACACCTCCAGGCTCCCAGCTAGCCAGATGCTCTGACTGTTCCTGGTGTCTCTGCTGTGATCGCTCTGGCCACCCCAGAGTCAGTGCCATCCTGGGCTCCCCTGGCCTTTCTGTTCCAAGTCCAGTCGCCACCTACCTGGTTTTCTCTCTGTGTCTCTTCAGCTCGTATGGGCGAGAGGCCACTGGTCACTCACAGATTGGCGACCCCAGGTCAGGGATCTGCCGGTAGCAGTTAGCCCCGGGCCCTACATAGGCCACCTTCTTGGGTTCTCGGGGGCAGCTGGGGCAGGGATGTGGCCAGATTCTCCAGGCAGGAGCAGCTGGGGAGACCATGGGGCTTTGAGCTCACCCACCACCCTCCAGGCCCACCCACTTGCCTGCTGCTATGTCTTAGCGGCACAGCTGTGGCCTCCTGGGCTTTGGTCTTCTCTTCCCCTTAGTTTCTGAGTGACCCTCGGTCTTCACGACCAGCTTGGGGGCTGCCTCTTCGGGGGACTGCCCTCACCTGGAGTCCCCTGTCGTGTGAAGCTCCTGCTTTCTCCAGGCCCTCAGCTCACAATCACCAAAGCTTCAGGCTGCCTGCCTCCGCTGGGCTTGCAGGGGACTCAGGGACCATGGCAGCAGCTGCCTGAGGCTGAAAAGAGGGGAGAAAAGGCCAGTGGGGAAGAGATAGGATGTTCATCCCCGCCTGCGAGCTTGGAGACGTCCAGGTGGCTGCTTGATGTCCCTCGGTCTGTCCTCTAAGGCTTAGACCACAGCCTCCACGAGATTATACATGGGATGGTGTGGGGGGTGGATTTTCATATATCTTGTCCCCCAGTTTCTTGTTCCTGGGAAGGGGAGTTTCTTCTGGAAGGGAACTGCTTCCTACTGGAAGTGACGGGCAGAGGCTGGGCCACACAGTTTCCTATCCTCTGTGCTCTCGGACCGTGACTCCAGACCCAACGGTCACCTAGCACACGTCACCCTCAATCTCCGCTCCACAAACACTGGTGGGACACATTAGTCCTCATAATGATCAGGAAATCTTCACTTGCCAAACACAATTTAGACAGAAATATAAAGTGGAGGTGAGCTAGTGAGTTCTGTATCACCATGTTTACCTGACTCTTGGATAAAATCTGGGAGTTACAAGGTCTCCATGGGTGCCTGCCTGCCTCTGTATATATATACATGTTGTATATGTGACTCTTCTCTACTTCTGAATGGTATTACCAAATTAATTCATAAAATCTCATAAGTTGACTTAGGGATAAGTAAGCATTTACATATAAATTAAATATTTCTATAAGTCCCAGAAACATAAAAACTAACCCAGATGCTTTCCAAGTTTGCGATCTGGGTAACCTTTGATAAATATAATTAGTTTAATATTGCTGGCTTAATAAAAGTTAGTATGTCTCCTGAATTATTACCATGAGCACACAGTTTTGTTCTATTTGGGTTTACTAGTTAAAGTAAGGGAATGTCAGGTGCCTCAGATAGTAAAGAATCTACCTGCAATGCGGGAGGCCTGGGTTCAATCCCTGGGTTGGGAAGATTCCCTGCAGGAGGGCATGGCAACCCACTCCAATGTTCTTGCCTCGAGAATCCCCATGGACAGAGGAGCCTGGCAGGCCACAGTCCCTAGGGTTGCAAAGAGTCAGACATGACTGAATGACTAAGCACAGCACAGGACCAGCTATTTTTAATTATATAAATTATAAATTCAGCCAAAGAACAAATGTATAAGTAAAGACGTCATAAAAATGAATTGCTTGATGTACATTACTTCCTATGTATCAACCATAACAGTAAAAGAAAAAATAAAACATCGCTTTGTAAATTTTTGCTATCTGATGCTTGTCTAAATGCATATGCTGAAAAAATAGTTAACAGGGGAAAAACTTAAGATGATGGACAGCTGTGTTT